AACATGCCAAAGCAAAAACAAAAGCAGAGATGGCAGAGGGGAAAGTCAGGAAGAGGGGAACCTTAGAATGACAGCTATGCTATGGTTCGTTCGGGTATCTTCTCACCTGTCTTCAGGGCACACAAGGGGAGCCATTTATATTTATCCTGTATTTTCACTGACATTGGCATCAGCTGGCTTTGACGAGTAGCAATGGGTGGAAGACTTATGCAGGTCATAGACGGGTCGAATTTTTTTTTTTTTTTTGTTTTTTTTTTGTGTTTTTTTTTTGTTTTCACGGCCGATTTTTTCAAACAATAAACGAAAAATCAGTCGTTCGTTAGACTGACGTTACCACCAACAATTAAAATAAACGGCTAACTAAATCATAAAGTTCACCCCATAACTTCTGTCCCTTGCAGGTCACGACTCATGCGCAGATTTTTTTATCGTTAAAAAGATCGGCCGATTTGGCGATCATTGCCGGGAAAATCGGCCAATCATCCAAATCGGCCGCGAATTTTCCAACATGACCGATAATCTCCAAGTGCAAAAAAACAGAAAAACGGGGCCGACCAATTAACCCAATAACAGTGCGAAAATTGGCCGATTTTTTTTTTCCAGCCAAAAAATCGGAACGATTTTCGAACTGTCTATGGCCGGCATTAGATAGACAGCATATATAAAGTATTTCTAAAGCCAAAACCTTTCTGTACATTTACATCTAATTTTTTCTGTATTCCATCGAGCAGATTTCCCTTCACCTCTTGTCCTGTAAACACAACAGGAACTGAGAGGAAAACCCCCTCTTAGACAATTGGCCATTACGTGTCTCCAATGGGAGATTTGACTTTTATTCCAAGTGAAAATGGTCACTAAGGATTAAGTCTTAAATCTGCATCTGCAGTGATCATGCTTATTACTGAGGATCCCTCCGTTTTTATCAGTTTAGTACCAGGGGCAGACTAACAACTCTTGGGGCCCCCCGGGAAATAGGGGATCATGAGCCCCTGTGTCCTTGCCCAAACTCAAAAAAGCCTATGAAAAAGGTACCAGGGGCATCTCATGGGGCCCCCTACTGACCCGGGGCCCTTGGGCAGTGCCCAAGTTTCCAAATGGTCAGTCCACCCCTGTTTAGTACACACTTTGTTCAACAGTACCAAACTTTGATGAAGGGAACCCTTAGAACCCCTGAATTTTTCTGCTATAAGAATCTGATCATAATTAAATCTGTACTTTATATATTCTGTTTTTGTTGCTTTCCCTCTTGTACCCCCACCAGTAAAATCCTAACAGGGATACTAACCCTTTTCTTCTCTATTAAAAAAAAATAAAAAATGACTGTAAATACAGTTAAAAAGACCCTGCCCACATTTAGTCAGGTATTTAAATGCTAACTTTTAATCCTTCTCATAAATTATTTTTATTCATGCAAAGTGCCTTTCAACTTGCTAAAAAATATGACTCAATCCCCTAGCACAGCCACCTCCTTGAACATCACAGCCCTCTCCTCTTCTGAGAGGGTATAATCACTTTCTGTGCTGGCCCAGCTCCTCGCCCCTTCTGTCAGCTCCCTACCTAACCAAGTGTCACTTGAAGGAAATAAAAATATGTATAAAATATGCAAAGTGAAAGTATGATCCTATGGGAAATTGTTTTAGAAATAAATAGACAGGATCTCTTTAAGGAGGAGTTAAATTGAACCAAAGTATAAAGTACTAAGCCCAGCCTTTCTCAGCTTTTTTTTTTAACACAGAGGAACTCTTAAAATGAATTACCAATCTCAGTCCCCACTAATGATTTCAATATCTACAACTCACAATGAGACATGGATGCTCAAGGATCCTCTAGCCACCTTTGGAAGATCCCTGGTTGAGAAGGGTTCTAATTAATACTCTGTGCATTGCTCTCAATATTTTTTTCCTAACTATGGAGAATTTTTACTGATTCCTGAATGCCAGAGAAAAATCTACATTGATCACTTGACTGATCACATTGATATAATGATGGATACATTGATCACATTGCTTTATTATTTCATTATTCACATTGTATCACTGCAATTTCAGATTTGATGAATTTGCATGTTTTCTGTCTAACCATAGCTCATTGTAAAACTAGGGCACCTACATGTATGGCAGATAAATGAGTGTGCAGCTGTTCATGGGTGACAAATCAGGTTGGGTTCATTAGGTCATGTGTTAAAGATTTGACTTAGCACAGCTTGCTGTGACCTAGTGGAAACCACTTACAAACTGTTCATGTAGTGATATGAGTCAAATCGCTCCATCTGCATAGCCGAGACTTCACCTGTCACCCCATGCACTGACTTTTCTCATCTGTGACACTTTCCAGGCCTCCAGTAGGACTGAATTGAATTATTATTATTATTATTATTATACAGGATTTATATAGAACCAACAGTTTGCTCAGCGCTTTACAATATAATGGGAGACAATACAGCAACAATACAGTTCAATACAAGAGGGATTTGAGGGCCCTGCTCCTTGGAGCTTACAATCTAGGAGATCATCCTGAAATACTACTTACACTGTGTGTATCTGCTCATGTTACCATGGCTGTGATCTGGAGGCCCTGGATGGAGGTGTCAAGGTCTACTATGACACACTGTGAAAGTTAGTGGGTTCATGGTGGTTGATAAGTGTCACAATGTCAGGTGAGATATCTGCATCCACATTATTAAAATGCAAATCAGAAATCTTTCTGCTTCGGTGGAACATCTTAGCATGCTTGGCTGTAATTCAGAAATCACAACTTACTTTATTTTATTTATTTGTTACAGGTACTTATATAGCGCTGTCAATTTACGCAGAACTTTACATATATATATTGTACATTCATATCAGTCCCTAACCCTCAAGGAGCTTACAATCTAAGGTCCCTAACTTACATTTATACATACACATACTAGGGCCAATTTAGACAGGATCCAATTAACCTACCAGCATGTATTTGGAGTCTGAGAGGAAACTGGAGTATCTGGAGGAAACTCACGCAAGCACAGGGAGGACATGCAAACTCCAGGCAGGCGGTGCCGTGGCTGGGATTTGAACCAACAACCCTAGTACTGCTAGGTGGAAGTGCTAACCATTCAGCCACTGTGCTGCTCACTACTTTGACACAACTATTGGTAAAAGTACGCTTGCACTTGTGCTTTATCTGCACTTGTACTGGAGCTTATGTACTAAAATTGCCTATGGCTGCCAATTGTCCCAGCTAACATTACTGACAATACTGGCTGAAAGATGAAAATACTATGGGGGAGATTTACTAAAACTGGAGAACTCTGAATCTGGTACCGCTGTGCATGGTAACCAATCAGCTACTAACTTCAGCTTGTTCAATTAGTCCTCATGCACACTTGACGTTTTTACAGCGGCTGTTTTTGGCTTTTGATGGTTTTTTTTTACAGCTAGTAACCTCCCCAGCATGTTATCCTATATGTCCATGTACACATAGACTGTAATCAAAGTTTTTTGGCTGGGTTGTTTTTTGGCTGGAAAAAAAATCCAGGACTAGTGGGTTTCTAGAGGAGTTTTTTAGCTATAAAAATGCTCTAATGCTAAAAAACACGGCAAAATGCCACAAATCAGTGTTTTTGGATGTTTTTTTCACCCAAAAATTTTTTTTATTTTCGATTAAAAAATCGAATTGCGGCTAAACACTAATGCAAAAATGCTAAAAAAAACTGAAAAACTCACATTTGTAACGTGACTTTACAAAGCTAACGTTACCAGCGTTATCAAAATGCCCAGCGTGCATGAGGACTAAAGCTCTAACTGGTTTCTACAAAGAGATGCACCAGATTTTGCACGCTCCTGTTTTAGTAAATCCCCCTATGTGATTGGAAGCAGGGGCGGACTGACCATTCGAGCACTAGGGCACTGCCCGAGGGCCCGGAGTCAGTAGGGGGCACCATAAAATGCCCCTGGTACCTTTTATAGGCTTTTTTGAGTGTGGGCAAGGACACAGGGGCCCCATGATCCCCTATTGCCCAGGGGCCCCATGAGTTGTCAGTCCACCTCTGATTGGAAGCTGCGGTTTTCTTACCTGATTCAGTTTTGGAAATGAGATTCATACAGTCTTATGTACAAAAGGCGACTCTGTTAAACATAGCAACAAATCACCATCCATTGGAGCTGATGTCCAAAGCAACAGGATCACATGCTTTCCTAATCCAATTTAAAGTGTGTCTGTCATTCTGAACCTCTGCTCTCTGATCTAGGAAAGAGAAGAAGTCATCAAATCAGAAATCTCAGAGTAAAGTCAAAAGCCTTTGTATATTTGTTTTAGATCAGATACTCTATGGAGCTGATTTACTAAAATCAAATAGACTGTGCACTTTGCAACTGCCATTGCATTCTGCAAGGGCAGTTGCCCCAGAGCTTGAAGTGTTACTAAACCCACAACAGTAAAATCAGTCTGTATATGCAGTAAAGCATGCTTGTTATACTCACTGTGGAACCTAATGGGTTAATCCACCTGCATTGTGTAAAAATGCCATTTGCTCCTGTGTTCTCCACCCCTCCTCTTGTTCAGATGTCCACCTGATAAGACAGACTGAATCCGTACTCACATGCACATGCTCAGTTTGGTGTATATTGCTGGAGAGGTATTTTTTTTTCTTGGGAGAGTGCATGTGATCAGATCAGGGCCAATCAGCACTGGCCAGGGCAGGGGCGGGCTGACCATTTGGAAACTTGGGCACTGCCCGAGGGCCCGGGGTCAGTAGGGGGCCCCATGAGATGTCCCTAGTACCTTTTTCATAGGCTTTTTTGAGTTTGGGCAAGGACACGGGCCCCATGATCCACTATTGCCCGGGAGCCCCATGAGTTGTCAGTCCACCCCTGGGCCAGGGGTTCTGCATCCTCCTAGAGCAGAAAGAAAACTCCTTCTACAAGCTTTAATCAGTGCTCTGCTGAAGTCACAAGACTGCTCTAACTGCTGATGAGAAAAGGTTTATATTTACTAAAATAATTGCATTTTCATGTTCTGTGTACTGTGGGAGACCAGATATAGTGAATGCGGGATGCCAGGGTCCTGGGTTTAGTAACATGAAGTAAATGAAGATAAGCTCTGCTGACTTCTTTCATTCAATCATGTGCAAGCAAAAATGCTGTTTTTTTTTCCTTGCATGTGACTGGGTATTCCTTGCAAAGTGAAGCCGCACCTCATTTACCAAGCTCTGCTGCAAATACCCTCACAGAGTGCAACTCTGCTTGCAAAGTGCACAGTCTATTTGTCTTTAGTAAATCAACGTCAATGTATTGCAACCAGGACAGCCAGGCAACTGGTATTTCTTGAAGGACGGTCAGCAGTATCAGTCTCCATGTCATTCTTATGAATGTTTTTGCTTAATCTCCTGAAGATTTGATAAATGAATTCCTCTGTCCCAAGGAAACAGTAGGGGAGATTTACTGAAACTGGTGCACACAGAATCTGGTGCAGATGTACACAGTAACCAATCAGCTTCCAGGTTTTATTGTCAAAGCTTAACTGAACAAGCTGAAGTTAGAAGCTGATTGGCTACCATGCACAGCTGCACCAGATTCTGTGTGCACCCATTTTAGTAAATCTCTCCCATACTGTCAACTGCTGCCTGATGGTGATGTATTTGTTCACCTTTATCTAAATGTCTATCTATCGTTGATCCATTGGCCCTTAAGCAGCCCATAGATTATTTGAATTTCTGAAAGGAAAAATTTGCTCGATTTCCCAATTAACACATTAATTGTTGATAGGGAAATGTCTCCCACAGTACCATTGTGTTCTGCCAGCAGGGGGATACAGGGATCCTTTCCTGGCAACACAATGATTACTGCTAGTATCTATAGCCGCTAGCAGTAAAACAAATCACACAGGTTGTACGCAAGTCGATTGACGGATCAAATTGGATACAATCAGCCTGCTCATACATGGATCGAACCTCAGCTGGTCCCTGCTGAACCGGTCGAATTTTCATCCATGTATGGCTGGCTTAAGTATGTGTGTGCATGTGAAAAAGGGACCTTAGATTGTAAGCTCCTAGCGGACAGGAACTGATGTGAATGCACAGTATGTAAAGTGCTGCATAAATTGTTCGCACTATACAAATAACTGTAATTATCTATCTATTGGCCCTAGTATGTGCATACATGTGAGATAGGGACCTTAGATTGTAAGATCTTTGAGAGCGGGCACTAATGTAATTATAAAGTCTGTAAAGTGCTGCGCAAATTGTTGGCTATAGAAATTCCTGTAATAATCTATCTACCTATTGGCCCCCTTATATGGACACATGTAAGATGGGGAATTAGATTGCAATAAACTCTTTGAGCACAGGGACTGATGTGAATGTACAGGAAATAAAGTGCTGTGCAAATTATCTGCACTATATACATACATGTATTATCTATCTATCTATCTATCTATCTATCTATCTATCTATCTATCTATCTATCTATCTGTCTGCCATGCACATGATTACAGAGCTGCCTATCTTCAGCAGGCAGAGTCTGCTATGATAGGGCTGCTGGCCCAGTTCTACAGATAGCAGGCTGTGATAGCCCCATGGTGAGTGGCCAGTGTCCGGGCTACCTGTGTGAATCAGGTTTCTGTTAGTGATTAGGAGACTTGATTGGGGAAATGAGAGGCTCAGTGATACCTCTGATAATGAGCTGTGGCTGCAGGCTGGCTCCTCTTCTGCTCTACAGACAGACAGCAAGCGGCTGGATCACATTTCTTCTCTGATCTGCTCCAGCAACTTTCCATGCCTTGCAAACACATTATGGAGCACCCAAGTCTTGTCCTACCATTCACAAAGTGGGTCAGAGCAGTCCTGCAGTCTTCACTACATAGGATCACCAGTTCATAGGATAGGGTTGCATAGCTTCTATTATAGAGAATATTCTTCACTAATAGGATCACCATTCATAGGATAGGGGGCATAGCTTCTATTATAGAGAATATTATTCACTACATAGGATCACCATTCATAGGATAGGGGGCATAGCTTCTATTATAGAGAATATTATTCACTACATAGGATCACATTCATAGGATAGGGGGGCATAGCTTCTATTATAGAGAATATTATTCACTACATAGGATCACCATTCATAGGGGGGGCATAGCTTCTATTATAGAGAATATTATTCACTACATAGGATCACCATTCATAGGATAGGGGGCATAGCTTCTATTATATTACATTATTACATTACATTGAGTTTATATAGCGCCAAAGGGTTTGCTCAGCGCTGTACAATAGAGGGGGGGGACAATACATGAAACATTACAGCAACTACAAAACAACACACGAGGGGTTATAGGGCCCTACTCTTTCGAGCTTACAATCTAGGAAGAGAATATTCTTTTTACTACATAGGTTCACCATTCATAGGACAGTGGTGCATAGCTTCTATTATAGAGAATATTCTTCACTACATAGGTTCACCATTCATAGGATAGGGGGGCATAGCTTCTATTATAGAGAATATTCTTCACTACATAGGATCACATAGGATAGGAGGGCATTCTAGGATGAATGCCCATTATTACGTGTATTGAAAGGGCATAAAGAGATTCAGTGTATTCTAGGATGTTGGTATAGTTTACAGTGTAATGTTGGTAGTGAGGTATTGGGATTAATGATGGGTATGTATATATACCAGTGTAATTGTAGTGTGGGTCATGTAATGTTGTAATATAATGTATTGGTGAACATACAGTGTAATTGTAGTGTGGTCATGTAATGTTGCATATATACAGTGTATTGTAGTGGATCATGTAATGTTGGTATTAATGTTGGTATAATACAGTGTATTGTAGTGGGTCATGTAATGTTGGTAACATACAGTGTATTGTAGTAGGGTCATGTAATGTTGGTATATACAGTGTATTGTAGTGTATGTGTATCACTGGTATGTTGTTCAACGTATTACAGTGTATTGTAGTGAATCATGTAATGTTTGGCATATACAGTGTATTGTAGTGGGTCATGTAATGTTGAGTATTATACATTGTATTGTAGTGGGTCATGTATTGTTTGGTAATATACAGTGTATTTGTAAGTGGGTCATGTAATGTGGTACAAATACAGTGTAAGTGGGTACATGTAGTGGTAGTTTACATGTATTGTAGTGGGTCATGTTGGTATATACAAGTGTATTGTAGTGGGTCATGTAATGTTGGTATGTTGGTCATGTTAATGTTGGTATATACAGTGTATGTTATTGGTCATGTAATGTTGTATATTATACAGTGTATTGTAGTGGATCATGTAATGTTGGTATATACAGTGTATTGTAGTGGTGTCATGTAATGTTGGTATATACGGAGTGGTATTGTAGTGGTATTGATCATTTGTAATGTTGGTATAATACAGTGTATTGTAGTGGGAATCATGTAATGTTGGTTATAATACAGTGTATTGTAATGAATGTCATGTAATGTTGGTTAAATATACTAGTGTTTGTACCCCCTCCTCTCCCCCTGTTTGGGGTCACTGTAAAGAAGGGGATAATATGGAGTACAGTTGTATTGTAGGTGGAATCATGATTTTAATGTCCCCTCCCCCATGGTAATATACATGTGTAGTTGTAGTGGATCATGTAATGTTGGTATATACAGTGTATTTAGTAGTGGATCATCATGTAATGTTTTGGTATATACAGTGTATTGTCTAATGAATCATGGATAATGTTGGTATATACAGTGTATTGTAGTGGGTCATGTTAATGTTGCGGTATATACAGTGTATTGTAGTGAATGATCATATGTAATGTCGGTTACCCCCCTATACAGTGTATTGTACTCGAGGAGTGGTTTGTAGGAAGTCTGTGGTAATTCAGCTCAACATTTGTAATACGAAGTCCCTTGCCTTACACAAGCTCTTATCTGTGGTCTGTCTTTTCTTATCGCTCTTGGTGGTTCTGGCTGTTGCTCATGTCAGAAGAGGCCGCTAACTATGGTGTCAAGTGCTCTCCTCCCTGAATGACAGGTTAGATATAGGGAATAACTATGGCGTCCATTGTCACCCCCCTCCTCCAGGACCCCTTCCCAATGCCCTACTAAGAAGGGGAGAACTATGGAGTAGGGAATAACTTTTGGTGTTACCCTTCTCCCGGTGAATGTCAGACTTAGGGGGTATAATAGGGAATAACTATTTGATTCAACCCCCCTCCCCCTCATGCAGCTATATTGGATAACCAGTCCTCCCACCTCCCGATATAGGGGGTAACTATGGTGGCACTCCCCTCACCTGATGACTGATGGAAGCTAAAAGGATAACTAATGGTGTCACCCTCCCCCTGATGACCTCTTGGGATGACACATTGGATATAACTATGGTTTCATCCCCTCCTGATGACAGGTATAGGGAAAAAACTATATGTCTGCTATACGGGCGTTCATGCCCCCCCTCCCCCCCCCTGCCTGATGACAGCTAAGAAAGGATAACTACTATGGTGTCACCCCTTACTCCTCCTGAAGGGGATATATTGGATATATCTGTAACTATGGTTTCATCCCCTCCTGATGACCATATTATATGGGAATAACTGATATGGTGTTAAACCCCCCCCCTCTCCTCCTGAGATAGGGACAGCTGAAGCTGAAGAGATAACTATGGTTGTCACCCCCTCCTCCTGATGACATATAGGGGATAAACTTTGGTGATAATAATAACTATGGTTCATCATGCCCTCTCTGATGACAGATATAGAGGGATAACTATGGGTGTCACCTCTCCTCCTGATGAAAGGTATGTGAGGGATAACTTATGATCGTGTTAACCCCCCACCCCTGATGGTCAGATATAGGGGGATACCCCCCCCTCCTCCTGATGACAGCTAAGAAGGTCAATAACAGATATGGTGTTACCCACCTCCTCCTGATGACAGAAATAGGGAATAACTTTGGTGTTACCCCTCTCCTCCAGGTATCGGGATGAACATACATACAGATATAGGGATAATTATGGTGTTCAACCCTCTCCTTCTGATGACCAGTTTCCTATATAGGGGGATAACTAAGGTGTTACCCCTCTCAATCTCCTGATGACAGCTATGATGTCAGATTGGGATAACTATGGTGTCATAGCTCCCTG